ATTATTATTATTATTATTATTATTATTATTATTGTCGTCGTATTATTAATTATATTGATCTTAAATATTCCATCGTTCATGAAGAACACGTCGGAAGTCATGGATTTGCGCGCGACGCCGTTGTTAACGACGTTAATGTAATATTAATACTGTAATATTATTGCCATCGTTACTACTGCTACTACTATCGTTATTACAATTATTACAAGTATTATCATTAATTTTATCACTATTGTAATAATTTATGAACCGTACCAACGTTGTATCGTCATTGTAAGTATTACAGTTTCTATAATAATCTATTTAAGGGCAAGCAAAGAAATTTAGGTACTCGGTGAAAAATTTCTTTTTGCGGGTGCTATTTGCTACATCTTGTATACTTCATTGTTTCTAATGTTGCCGTTAATTATTATTATTATTATTATTATTATTACTACCATCGTCAGCACTATTGTTGATATTAATAGGAGGATTATTATAGTCATAAATTCGTACTTTTCGTTTTTCTTTAAGTTTTTGAAACGTTTCATTTATTGATAGATATTCGATTTGCCTTGAACGAAGAGACGTATGATTGATCATTGATAAATTATGCGAATCCTAAATTAAAAGGTATTCTTAAATTAGTTTTTTCATTTTAATGTTTTACAAACAATGCTGTATAGTATGTATATATATATATATGTCACACTTGCTACGCTTTTATTTTAGAACACATGTGATTATATTTCAAAAGAAGAAACTTCATCTTTGAAAAGAGAGTTCCAAACTTCAATTACAATTCTGTTTTATCGAACAGATAACGAAGAAAACATTGAATTTTCGCAGTTGAACGTGATAACAGAAATAAGGAAGGCTCTGTCCTTTGTTTCGTCGAAAGTGGTATTTCGATGAAACTTTATTTTTGAGGAAAGGAGCATACATTCGATTTGAAAAAAAAGAAAAAAAAAGAAAATATACAAAGGTTTTATTGCTCAAACGTCCACGCTTGCTAGTAAGTACATGACGCACGGGTATGAGGTGTCTGGACATGATCCACACGTACCTATCTTGCCACGTGTCGAGAATTACACTGATAATTCTGCTGTGTCTTTCTCTGCGCGTTTTTGTACAGAATCGCGCGTCGAGCGCGCCTTATCGATAACTCTTTGGTCGTAAGCGCTACTTCTGCGTAATTCCGTTAAACGAAACCGTGCGTATTGCCCCCCGTTCGACGCTTGCAAGCGACCAAGCAACGGGAAAGAAAAGAAATAGAACGATCTGTCAAATAAAAAAAAAAATAATAAAAAAAAAGGAAAGAAAGAATAACGAGAAAAGCACCGGAGGAAGGGCTCGTTTTCTCAGGTCCACTAAACGTGTTTATGTACAGTATCGCTTCACTGAAGCGAGGTAATTTAATCGTCCGCTATGGATCCATGATCGAGGGAAAGCTGAGAGGAGGGCAGCACTGTCACTGTGATTCTCTTATCCTTGATTGGAGTCCCAACATTCTCCTTTCGATTATTTCGACACCTGACTTCCGTAATCTACGTACACACGCACGACCTCGCCGCTATATTTACGTTGGCTGGGCATGAAGTAAAAGTCAGGTTGATTCGGCTGCGTGGACACGCCACCACCTGCCGGACCGTGCATATTGCTCTTCGATCGCTGATAATGATCTCTGCGATCTTGCGTATAATAACCGGGCTGAATAGGCGCTGTATGCCTCGAGCCCGGTGCCCGCGGTAAACTGTAAGTCGCTCGTGGCCCTACTATTCTATTTGGGCCCTCTACGGTGTCAGTGCCGAGTCCGTTCGCTGTCATCTCTCTGTGACGGGGTAGACTGGAAATTGGCGGTGGCGGGGCTTTCTCCT